CATAGTTGACGAATATAAACAAGCCAGATTGTATTCAAGCCGCATAGGCTCGGGGGTGAGGAATGTCTGGGAGACGGGGAGTTATTTCCTATCACCCTCAACATACAGGACGCTCTAAATATAGAGCACAATTTAAATATTGTAGGACTATCTGACTGATTGGTGCAATGGTGACGTCTTAAACAGCTTTTGCTCATACCCTCAAAGTATATCTGCTAGAAGTTAATGTTGCCTGTTAATTGCAATGTTACTTGAGTAAGAAACAACAAGTTATGAATTTTGAAATTATACATATAATTTTGAATAACAAACAACAAAGTGTAGTCCAGTCAATGAATGCCTTAACGACGGTGTAGAGAGAAATCCATGGAACACAATTTTTGACCTCGGGACTTTATTTAGCCTAGTTAGGAGGTGAACATAGCAAAAGTCCCCGCCCTTAGCCCTTGAGCCGGCGGAGAGAGGGGGGTTTAAAGGTACCACTTTTCGGTTTTTCGCTTAATCCTCGGAAACTATGCGTCCTAGTGACATGACTACTATGAACCAAAAAAAGCTTATTCAATTTGCTATAGGTGAGACAGTCAAGTTTTTCTATATCTTGTATAGTTTTTGCGGCATCTGCTCTAGAAGGTCTGTAAAATTGGAAATTTTATTGTTGTCTTACATGTTCCTTTCAGGAGAAAATCGACTAAATCAACATTGAGCAAANATTAATGTATTTCTTTATTAATCAACTTGGGGCTGCTATCCCTAGTGCAGCTTATCTTCTCAATTAACTATGTCGTTAATGAACGGCTTATAGCAGGTAATGTGCACCTTGGGTCACGGGCTCTTGGGCAGTGGACTATACTATTGCATTGGTACATGGCATTTACTTCATTTTGGATAGCCATTTGCTTATAAAACAGCAATTACGAATTACTTCTTTTTGGAACGCGAGTAGCTATTTAAAATGATTTCAATTACTTTGATCCCGAATCTTTATCATCAGGTCATTTAGTTTTCATTGCAGAAGCACAACCCTCTCATCATCATCATCATTTGTCCAATCCCACTGCTCTGAAATAAGTACGAATAAGTTTGATGAAATGTCTCATCATTTTCTTTATTCGTGGTAATATGGATTGGCATACTGATGGATTGTTTTATTGATTGAGCTGTTTAAATAGTCAATTTTTCTGACGTTTTATAAGTAAAGACTTTGTCAAATCAGTGTACACATAGGGTAACATTGATTGTACTTGTAAAAATGATAGCAAATCAAACTAAGATACGAAGAGTAATAAAACATCAGTGTATAGGTAATATTTTGTAAAATATATAGTATAATGTGCTGTTCACTGTAATAGTCTCATAGCAAAACCCGTGGCTAAATTCGGCAAGTTACAATCATGAGAAAAATGGTCAATGTCTAAACATAGACCAAAAGTGGAGTGCCCGATAGCGCTGCGGGCGTGGTCTATCTTCTAAACCAGTTCTTAGATTCTGTGTGCTTACCATGAGTTTACGTTAGGTGTGCTCGCTAGCGACTACGTAAAAAAATTACATTAATTGTATGACATATTTTGCAGCGCCCCTAGCGGCTACTTTCAAGAAACAAAATCTTCATAGAGATTTTTGACGTACTCGCTAGCGAGCACACCTAACGTAAACTCATGGTAGGTGCACTGTTCTTGCGTAGGTCAGCGCAGAAAGTAAACTTCAAAAGTCCCATTCTTGTTTTTTAATCGAAAACATTAACGCACGTATTCACAATTATTACTATGAACATTACTAATAAACTGTTGTTTTCCCTACACTTCTAACAAAAATCACGTCATTGTTAAAAACAATGGATTCTTTCGTCAAAAATAACGGAGTTTTGACGACAATAAAACTTACTAACTTGTGTCTAATTGGTGTAATTTAATTGTTTTATTGGACTTTTACAGCGGTATTTTATGGTAGTCAAATTAACTAACCGTTGTCTTCAAAACTATCAAATCCACAGCTAACTAACGTATCAAAATTAATGGTGACAGCGTTTTGAAAACTGGGACTTTTCCCATCTCTCGTTCCCACCGCAACAACTACTGTGAATCCAAGATCTGCTGGACTGTCAATAAAAATACAGTCAGTGGAAGTGTCATAATAATATACAATCACGAACTTATTACGTCATAACTTCTTTTGTCATACCAAATCTATGGAAGAGTCGCATTATGACGGTTGTTTGTTGTAGTTAACACCTGAACACTTCAATCCAGTTTGAAACCACTAATCCATTGGCACAGTAAGGAAAAGTAGTCAGCCGAGTAGCCGTTGATAGTGATAGTTAAACATACAAGGGAACGAGAATTCTCTGTTCAAGTTATTTAGGACAAGCTTCGGACTCTTTCGTAATGTTTCGACAAAATTACGACTTCACAAATCCTCCTAAAACTGACTTTAATTCGTCAGCGTAGAGTCCACAACGGCTGCACAGTTAACTTTGATGACAAGCCATCGACCAAATTACATAGACACTCCAAAGTTACACCTTGCCTTCCGCAATATCCCGCACGTCTTTACAGCAAAGGGGCAGGGTGGTTCAGTTAAAACTGGTTTTGTAAGCCGGTGTAAAATGTTTTACCTCCATGAATGGTTATTAGTATTACACTTGCGAAAAGCATTAACGAATTGTAACTTACACTTATGTATTTGTTTTAGCATATGTCATGACGCTCAATGTTTACTTACATAGGTATTTGCGAGTAGGCTCGTAAGTTTGTAGAGGCCTATTCTATGTTTACTTTTAATATTGGGCAATGTCATTTTTACTCGTATTTGCAATTAACGTTCAAAGAGTACGTATTTGTACGTATAGTGGGTCGTAAAGTTGAGTAAGTTTCAGGTCAAAGTGACATATATATCATTTTAGCATTAAATCGCATTTTATACCCCATTTACGACCTTTTAGTCTGATGTCTATTTTTAATAATGGGTACGAACCGTTTTTTATTACGCAGTTGGCACTTTACCCTTTTGTAAAATACAGTTCTAATATTACCGCTACTAAATCCATTGGCTCCGATATCCTCATAGTTTCTTAACACTCGGTAAATCTATATTATTTCTACCAAATGATTGTATTCATAGTATGGCGAATATAAACAAGCCAGATTGTATTCAAGCCGCATAGGCTCAGGGGTGAGGAATGTCTGGGAGATGGGAGTTATTTCCTATCACCCTCTACATAGAGGGCGCTCTGAATAAAGAGCACAATTAAAATATTGTAGGACTATCTGACTGATTGGTGCAATGGTGACGTCTTAAACAGCTTTTGCTCATACCCTCAAAGTATATCTGCTAGAAGTTAATGTTGCTTGTTAATTGCAATGTTACTTGAGTAAGAATCTATATTGAAATTTTAAGAAACAACAAGTTATGAATTTTGAAATATATATAATTTTGAATAACAACAAAGTGAGCGTATTAGTATTATAAGTAGCGCTTATTAGATCCAACGTTAAAACTTGAAATTACTTACTGCACTACCGTAAAATCTTTTCAAATACGTTTGTTGGTATTGTTGTCTATGTTTTTATCCTTTTTTTACTCTTTTTAATACCTTCTGTTTCTAGTTTTGAAGTACATATATATTTTTGATAGCCGTCTGGGCATTTAATGGAGAAATACATCTTTATTTTAAAACGAAGATATTTTCTTATTTCCGCACGCCCGAGCGGCTGTCCGCTACAACGTTGAAACGTAGCACATTTAAACACCGCCAAAAACAAACACCCCTAATTTCAATCCGCACCCTCACCCCCCTCAATATGACGCGGAATAGGGGCGGAGGGGGGATGAAAGCTCTAAGCTCAGTCCCGCTCCGCCAGGCAGCGAGAGCGCACGTCTCTTCCCGCCCCAAAATGCTTTAACGCTTCAAATAATCCTTTCCTCATGTAGTGCTGAGTGGTGTTGTGTAAATATGTCTTCCATTGAAAATGAGAGAGATACGTCGTAATATTCCGTGGTAGGTTTAAGATAAATTTGAAGAATTTGGGAGCTATCATCTCAGTTTTATGTTACATTAATTTGTTCTCAATTAGTGTTTTTTTGCTATCGTATTGAAACCTGACTTCAAGGTATTGCTTAGTACAAGTCAAAGAAATTAGAAATCATTGTTTTAGTTTTATTAATAGGTTGTTCTTATAAGATCTCTGTCAATGTGAAACGCGATAGAGCAGTTACCTACTGACCCATTTGCTGCATTGAAAACGTGTTGCAGGGTTAATACCTCACCTTTGACCTTTCCATTTTACCTACTGCGATAACTTAAACGTTATATTCGCTCCAATCTGTGTAATAATAGAAATTGTGATTCCACATCTATAGGTAAATCTTACGAGTAGTTTGTTGTCTGTACTTGATTACTCTATTTCACTAAAATGAAATTATGGTTTGAAATCAAAGCGGACTACACATTTCTGTTGCAAAATAACACCTATTAGGTACAACTACATGAGATATTTTAAAACAGCTTTTTGAAAAAGAATCAACAAAACTTTTTACGTGGATAGAAAATATAATAATTTACTCATGTTTAACAGAAAAAACATCGTGCCAACGTAATATTTATTGACACACGACGATATTTTTATACGAGTAGATAATTGTAGCTTCTACTCGATTATTTTTATCATCATTTCAGCCATAGAAATGAGGAAGGAATCATAGTAAGCAGTTACTGCTGACTATCATTCCTTTGTCATCCAAGGATATTCGTCATATTTATTGCACCGCCTTAGTCTCTCTAATTAACCTGTGGTTGACTGGCAGAGAATGCCACCTGGCATTAAGTCCGCCACTGTACAGTTTTATGTGCGAAAGTATAAATGAATAAATATCCAAATTGACAGGTTTATAGCGGCCTGCATCCAGCGGGTTTCTGCATCCTTGATCACATTTTACCTCTGCTTCTCATTTTACCTCTTACGTGGTGACTATAATCATAATAAGGTTATTGTCCCTCTTTCCAGATATCCAAAGGCAGTCGGTGACAGCATAAAATGCAGGAGAGCCTCTCATGACATCGGCGTTGAACTGAAGAACAATGGCGCTGTCAAACAACTCCATCTCGAGGACCTACCAAAGGCTCTTCGTAGATCTAGCTGGTAAGAACTCTACATACATAAGTCAGTAAGCACTAAAACTAGCGCCAAAACAGACGCCCGTATTTAGAAAGAAAGAAACATTTATTGCCATGGACATCACAAAAGACAAAAGAGGTAAAATAAAAAAAAAAGCAAATAAGACAGAGGTGACATAAAACATACAAACTGCTTAGTTTACTTGCTCATTCAAGCAAGTAAACTAAGCAGTGCCACCCTGTAGCACAGCGATGCCCATCGCAATGGGACCCCACTCAGCATATGCCGTGGCCCCCGGTGAGGGAAGCCACATCGCTGGTTTTCATTATTTACAAACGATGCTTGCATAAGTGAAGCAGCAAATCGAAAGCACAGCGTTGAATAGAGCTCTGTGATTGGTTCATGTGTCACCCAGTGCGTCCACGCGCACTGTGAGACCTCATAGTAATGTTTGTGAATAGGGCCGTAAGTTAGTGTCTAAGGTATGGTAGCGGTACGGGAGGGTGTTTTTGTGACGTCAAACTTCAGATCTCGTACGGATTTGTATGTTCTGCAATGACATGTCATAATTTATCAGTGTCACCCTCCCGTGCCGCTCTCATGCCTCAGGCACTGGACTGAGTTATGGGATAGACCTAAAACTACTCGCATTATTAAAATAGAAAAACTAAAAACTTTCGTCTGTTTTCATCACATCAAAATTGACGACAAAATGTTTACTAAAAAGTTGTTTATTTACCTAGCTGCTGCTTTATTTTTTATTAAAATTTGATAATGCTTGTTAAAAATACTTCTCATTTTTCACATTTAATTAGGTAAACGCGTTAACATAAATCAACGTAATATTAATAATCAACAGATCAATTTAGTTCATTAAATTTTTAAATCATTGTTTTATTTTTAAACTCTTGCGTGATTAAATATGTTGTGTTAATGAAAATAAGGCAAATCACTGTTTCATTTTTGATTCATTGAAAGGAAAAAGATAAAGGTTTAAAAATAATAAACAATATTATTTATAGCTTCGGCCCTGAAATTGAAGTAAAACAGTACGTAAATGTACTATACAGTAATAAATAATTATTCTTTTGTAAAACTAAGGCTAGTATTTATTTATAGTAATGTCTTTACAATTTACTCTCTTAGAAGTAGAACTTTTTTGTATAATTAGAAGTAGAATACATTTTTGTAGGAGTCTTCCACTGACTTGGCCCACTTTTAGCTTGGTCCACGGGCCAATTCGCTGGAAGACTCTTTCGTAGCAAATGTCATTAATAATACTGTTACTAAAGAATGCCTAATTCTAAGCATTCGTATTTTACATCCAGTTACTTAATCATTCTACGAAACTAATCATATTTCCACCTCTAATCCGAACCTGACCATATTTCCACCAACTTCGAAACTTATTGTCCCGAAGCAGCGGTAGGATTAATACTGGGACGTGTAAAAGTGCTTTTTAAAGGCCTATTTGCAAAAATAATTGAGTTTTGTGAGTTTTTTATGAGTTCTACTGATCACCATCTCGTGGTTTCCAGATCCCCGCACCAACGACTGGTTCCTGATCACCAGCCCGATCCCGGGACTGACCATCATCGGACTATACCTGTACTTCACGCTGAAATGGGGCCCGCGGTACATGGCCGACAAGAAACCCTTCCAGCTCCAGAAAACGCTGGTGGTGTACAACTTTATACAAGTCATTGTCAGCTGCTGGCTATTCTTTGAGGTAAATGGGTACTCACATACTAGTTCATTCGTTCGAACTCCTCCTATGTTCTTCTGATTAATTTCGTTGCGAATCCAATGACAGTTTTACTTTCTCCCGGGACAAACTTGACCTTCATTGGTTGGATTTTTGTGGCGGTCAAGCTGTAGATCCTGGCTACACAGGAGTTGCAGTGGTGGGAATGAGAGGTGGGAATAGTCCCGTAGTTCATTCGTTCGTTCGTTTCAGCCAAATGACGTCCACTGCTGGACAAAGGCCTCCCCCAACGCTTTCCATAGCGACCGGTTTTGCGTTGCCCGCATCCAGGTCCTTCCCATGACCTTCACCAGATCGTCGGTCCACTTAGTAGGAGGCCTGCCTCAGTGCCTACGCTACGTCTTCCGGCCTGTGGTTGCCACTCGAGAACTTTTTCTGCCCCAACGGCCATCGTCTCTACGACTTGATTTTAGCAATTCTGCTTACTATTACCACAGAATAATAATAAGTACTCTACTACGTACATACTAGTATTAGTATAAAATACGAATGTATTTCTGTATGTGTTTTCACGTGTGAGTCGCTGAAGCCAATGTTGATCAATTATTAATTGATTGATTTTGGTAGCGCTATAGAAGAAATTGTGATGGATTGATCTATAATTTTACACGCGATAAAATCATTATTTCACGTTTTTCATTTGTTATTAGAAAAGTAATAAGATTAAGCCTCACTTGCACCACCTTAACTTAACCGTAACTATAACTTTAACCGGTGTTTTATATGGAGTTTTACAGACTTTTAAATTTTGTTAAAGTAAACTAAATCTAAGTAGGCGAAGTTGTAAAACTGACAAATACGAGTAACTTACTTTACTTATAAACTTTTTTTAACATAATGTATTTTTTAAATTTTCCAGGGCCTAGACGCGGGTTGGTTGCGGACTTACAGCTGGAAATGTCAGCCAGTCGACTTCTCCCGGTCGCCGGAAGCAATGAGAGTACGTTCAAAAGTATTTTGACATTGTGCTGGTAGCTTCTTAGGGCTCCTTCCCATTGTAATCCAGTTTCGCGGGATGCAGGATCCCGCAAAACTGGACTATCCGAACGAATCGGGATTTGCGAAAACGGGGAACAAGCTCTTACATTAATGACAAGTCGTGGCGACTTACGATATGAAATTGTTTTTGAGTTTAAATTTTGCATGTTTTTAGAATAAGTAATGATGACTATTGCCGTATACTATGAGGTCTCACAGAACGAGTGGACGCACAGGGTGACACACGAACCAATCACAAAGCTCTATTCAAAGCTATTCGTTCGATTTGCTGCTTCACTAAGCAAGCATCGTTTGTGAATACGGGCGTATGTTGCGATCATTAAAAGGAAACAAAAATAGCCGTTATAGGAATTGTCGTAAGTGATAATTTATCGCTATTATAAATATTACTTATGTTTAATATAAACTACTTTTATAATCGTGACATGATGATTTATCCTCATAGGAAAACCATATAATAAAGTGATGATTTCCAGTCAATGTTCGCACCTGAACAATATTGTTCAGCAATTCATTTTAATGATATGAGGTTTCAGCTGATTATCGTTATAAAAGGCTAGTTATAAAGTTACAGTCTTATTATAAAGTACTTACTTATTTTCATGATTGAGTAAGCATGCTAACAATACCACAATAATGACGTTATCATAATAATGACGTTATTACAATAATGTCACTTTAAAATTACCTTAATTGTGTGTCGTTATGACTGATTGTAATAAGCCCGATTTTACTACAAATTAAAATTAGTCTATGCTAGTGTCTAAATCACCATTAGCTTTAGGCTGGATTGCACCATCTTACTTTAATAGTAACTATAACAATAACCGGTGATTTTTGTATGGAACTTGACCGATTTTTGACGTTTTTTAAAGTCAAAGTAAGATGGTGCAATCACTAATCAGTCTTAGTATATTTGTATCACTAAAGCTGAGTTGCACCACCTTATTTTAACCATAACAGTAACAATAACCTCTGCTTTTTGTATGGAGTTTGAAAGATTTTTGACGTTTGTCAAAGTTATACTAAGATGGTGCAACTAAGCCTTAAGGTATGAAAAACCCAAACATCAATAAATACTTGTGGCAACATTATATTGTGTATTCGTGTAGCTAATGACGGCGATTATCCTCAACATAAGATCTAGTTAATTAGTAAAGTAAGATGTAATAATTATGGTACGACGTAAAAACTGTCAGTAAAGAGGAAAAAAATACAAATTGGTGCTAAATATAGGTTAGCTTACGAGTTCGTTCGTTTCAGCCAAATGACGTCCACTGCTGGACAAAGGCCTCCCCTAAAGTTTTCTACAATGAACGGTCCTGCCCTGCCCGCNATTAATACTGGGACGTGTAAAAGTGCTTTTTAAAAGCCTATTTGCAAAAATAATTGAGTTTTGTGAGTTTTTTATGAGTTCTACTGATCATCATCTCGTGGTTTCCAGATCCCCGTACCAACGACTGGTTCCTGATCACCAGCCCGATCCCGGGACTGACCATCATCGGACTATACCTGTACTTCACGCTGAAATTGGGCCCGCGGTACATGGCCGACAAGAAACCCTTCCAGCTCCAGAAAACGCTGGTGGTGTACAACTTTATACAAGTCATCGTCAGCTGCTGGCTGTTCTTTGAGGTAAATGGGAACTTACATACTACACTCGGCATCAAATAAATTGCACCTCCCGCAACAAGCACTTTTCAAACGTATGCATCCCCACTTTCCACCAACATTGGTACCATTTGAAAGCCTAGTTCCAAACTTCATTTCATTAAAGGAAAGGTTTTTACCCCAAAAATATGTCTTTAGAAGGATCCAGAGTATAGGTACAAAAATAGGTAGTTAAGCTTGAGCCAACTTTTATGGCTATAAAACTGTTAAGTTGGGATTAATTGCTATCCATCTGTTAAAGAGGACACGTGAGATTATTATTTGGTTTTATAACCATAAAAATTGGTCTAATTGATCGCAGAGGTGAGCCCAAAGTGAGGTTTTTTTTCAAGTCACATTTATAGTATGTTAATAATTTATTAAGAAATGAAATGTGTTTTTCTTTAAGGATATTTATTGGACTTTCAAATAATACCAATATTGTTGGAGCACCATGATTGTGTCAGAAGAAAATCTTTAAATCGCGTCGCAGAAGGTGCGATTTATTTCATGTTGAGTGTAGTTCATTCGTTCGTTTCAGCCAAATGACGTCCACTGCTGGACAAAGGCCTCCCCCAAACGCTTTCCATAGCGACCGATCTTGCGCTGCCCTCATCCAGGTTCTTCCCACGACCTGCACCAGATCGTCGGTCCACTTAGTAGGAGGCCTGCCTACGATACGTCTTCCGGCCTGTGGTTGCCACTCGAGAACTTTTTTCCATTCAACGGCCATCGTCTCTACGACTTGATTTTAGCAATTCTGCGTACTACTACGTATGTACCTACTAGTAGCATAAAATACGAATGTATTTCTGAATGTGTTTTCAAGTGTAAATCGCTGAAGCCAATGTTGATCAATCATCGATTGATTGATTTTGGTAGCGTTATAGATGAAATTGTGATGGATTGATCTGTAATTTTACACAAGATAAAATCATAATTTCACGTTTTTCATTTCTTATTAGAAAAGTGTTAAGATTAAGCCTTACTTGCACCACCTTAACTTAACCGTAACTATAACTTTAACCGGTGTTTTATATGGAGTTTTACAGATTTTTGAAGTTTGTTAAAGTAAGCTAAATCTAAGTAGGCGAAGTTGTAAAACTGACAAATACGAGTAACTTACTTTACTTATTAACTCATCTTTTTTTAACATAATGTATTTTTTAAATTTTCCAGGGCCTGGACGCGGGTTGGTTGCGGACTTACAGCTGGAAATGTCAGCCAGTCGACTTCTCCCGGTCGCCGGAAGCAATGAGAGTACGTTCAAAATTATTTTGACATTGTGCTAGTAGCTTTCTTAGGACGAGCCCTATGGTAATCCAGTTTTGAAGTAGTAATGCAGGATCCCACAAAACTGGACTATCCGAACGAATCGGAATTTGCAATTGGGTATTTGTCAACACTTCCCAATAATTCAAAAGCACAACATTTTTAAAAAGGCACTTCATTCTGGTTTTAAAAACTAAATTATTTTAAAATTACATGAAAATTAAGATTTTTGGTTGTTTAATTGAGTTGACAAAATAATGACATCACTAGTAGTAGTCACTAGTATTGCCATACAAATCTATAGGAGTCTCGTTTTGACAGTTTCAAAAAGTAAGTCAATCGATTGGTGGTGGCAAATACGCTATGCTATACTATCAATATTTGCCTGCAAAAAACGGGGAACAAACCCTTACATTACCTAATGGCAAGTCGTGGCGACTTACAATATGAAATTGTGTTTGAGTTTTAATTTTGCATGGTTTTAGAATAAGTTATGACGAGTATTGCCGTATACTATGAGGTCTCACAGTACGAGTGGACGCACAGGGTGACACACGAACCAATCACAGAGCTCTATTCAAAGCTATTCGTTCGATTTGCTGCTTCACTAAGCAAGCATCGTTTGTGAATACGGGCGTACGTTGCGATCATTTAAAGGAAACAAAAACAGCCGTTATAGTAATTGTAGTAAGTGATAATTTATCACTATCTATATATATAAAAGAAAGTCGTGTTAGTTACTCCACTTATAACTCAAGAACGGCTGAACCGATTTAGCTGAAAATTGTCAGGGAGGTAGTTTAGAGCCAGGAGAAGGACATAGGATACTTTTTATCCAGTTCGAAATTTAAAAAAAAAGTCTGCTTATTTATTGCCATTAAGGCGGAACAAAGTTCGCCGGGTCAGCTAGTTATAAATATTACTTATGTTTAATATAAACTACTTTTATAATCGTGACATGATGATTTATCCTCATAGGAAAACCATATAATAAAGTGATGATTTCCAGTCAATGTTCGCACCTGAACAATATTGTTCAGCAATTCATTTTAATGACGTGAGGTTTCAGCTAATTATCGTCATAAAAGGCTAGTTATAAAGTTACAGTCATATTACAGAGTACTTACTTATTTTCATGATTGAAGTAGTAGGATTAGTACGATAATAATGATTTTAACGTGGTAATATATCTAGTAAAGGCAATTATGCAGTCGATAATGCTACATTAAAATTACTTAGATTGTGTCCTTACAACTGATTGTATCAAGTCCGATTTTACTTAGGTCTAGACTTAGTATATTTTGTAGCACTAAAGGTATAAAAACCCAAACATCAATAAATACTTGTGGCAACATTATATTGTGTATTCGTGTAGCTAATGATGGCGATTATCTTCAACATAAGATCCAGTTAATTAGTAAAGTGAGATGTAATAATTATCATACGACGTAAAAACTGTCAGTAAAGAGGAAAAAAATACAAATTGGTGCTAAATATAGGTTAGCTTACGAGTTCGTTCGTTCGTTCGTTTCAGCCAAATGACGTCCACTGCTGGACAAAGGCCTCCCCTAAAGTTTTCCACAGTGAACGGGCCTGCACTGCCCGCATCCAGGCTCTTCCCGCGACCTTTACCAGATCGTCGGTCCACCTAGTAGAAGGCCTGTCCATGTTACGTCTTCCAGCCCGTGATCGCTACTCGAGAGCTTTTCTGCCCCAACGGCCATCGTCTTACTTGCGCGTAGATTTAGGCTGAGTTGCGCCACCTAACTTTAACGGTAATTATAACGATAACCGGTGCTTTTTGTATGGAATTTGACAGATTTTTGACATTTGTCACAGTTAAAATAAGATGGTGCAACCCAGCCTTAGCATTTAATTTTTATCGCTCATCAGCTGGCGCCTCTGTAAAGTAAGGTCCTATGACTCGCTAGTGGCTTACGCCCGTAAAACGAAATGATGCTTGCTTAAGTGAAGTAGCAAATCGAACGCATAGCGTTGAATAGAGCTCTGTGATTGATTCGTGTGTGACCCTTAGCGTCCACGCGCACTGTGAGACCTCATGGTAATGTTGTAAGATAATGGCGCTAACTGGATAGCGCTGAAGCGGTAGCAGGACTATTATTTGCACTGACTAGGGTGATAAAACTATAGAGTGAGTGAGCACAAAAAAGATAGCCTTCTTTACTGTCTTTAGTTTCGTTTAGAATTATTGATATTAGATGCTGATTTCTAGCTCTTTCGAGTGTGAGCTAGAAATCGGTATCTAGAAATATCATCATAATATATACCTTGTCTTCTGTTACGTGCATGTGTGCTAAATTGTGAATTTCATTCATTTATACCTTTTTCTATATTTTTCGAAATTATTCTAGTAGTACCTACTAAGTTTTCAGTCCCTTCTTTTGATGTAATAGCAATGTTCATTTTCGTGCAACTTACGTTACTCATTTTAGATAGGAGGCGAATTATTTAAAATACTTCATTTATGGAAAACACAATACATGAGTTTGTGAATACATTTAAAAAGGAAAAAACAAATTATGTATCTGCATTTCAAAATACACTTCACCCTTTGGTCATCATCATTTCAGCCATAGGACGTCCACTGCTGAACATAGGCCTCCCCCAATGATTTCCACGTTGATCGATTGGTAGCGGCCTGCGTCCAGCGCTTCCCTGTTACCTTTACGATGTTGTCGGTCCACCTTGTAGGTGGATGTCCTACGCTGCGTTTTCCGGTACGCGGCCTCCATTCCAGAACCTTGCTGCCCCATTCTGCGTACTATGTACCCTGCCCATTGCCACTTCAGCTTGCTAATTGTTTGGTCATAGCATATTTTATTTCTTTTTCCAGGTCGCCAGAGGCGTCTACATCTACTTCCTGGCAAAGATATCCGAACTGCTAGATACAGTTTTCTTCGTCATCAGGAAAAAAGAGCGGCAGATCACGTTCCTCCATTTGTACCACCACACAGTCATGCCGATGATTTCGTGGGGGGCCACGAAGTACTACCCCGGGGGCCACGGGACCCTCATAGGGGTCATCAACTCGTTCGTCCACATCATCATGTACACGTACTACATGTTGGCAGCCATGGGACCCCAATACCAGAAGTTTCTGTTTTGGAAACGGCATATTACAACTTTGCAAATGGTAAGTGTTATGGAATGATTTAGATAGGTATTAAGTTCTTTTAATATGCATACCTACGTGGAAAAACAAAATTAAGTACATAAAGCACGACGATTACAGATAATCGGGTCTGGTCTGGTCAAAATGAGCATGCATATCAAGCTGGGTTGCACCATTTTACTTTAGCTTTGACAAACGTCAAAAATCTGTCAAACTCCATACAAAAACCACCGGTTATCGTTAAAGTTACGGTGAAAGTTGGGTGGTGCAACTCAGCCTAAGAAATAAGCTAAAAAAACAGCGACTCGCTCGACACAAAATATTTCTTATAATAGACATTCGAGGAAATTTTTGTCAATTTTATTTATATTTTAGTGGATTCTATCGATTATTACGCACTTTGGATAATAATGACTAATGTTGGTACTTGCTTGCTTTAGCATGGCTCGCCATCTGCAACATTAATTACTTGAAGGAAATTGATCCATAACTTCGAATTCTTCCTGTCGATCAATTTCGCCGTCGGTCTAATGGCTGCACTGGTACCTAGGTTTTCATAACTGAAATCGGTCAAACACGACAAAACTTACAATGACCGTCACAAACCATGAACAAGTCGTTAGCCAAAAAACGTATTTACTTCTTTATTTAGTAATAACATACACGTAGAGAAAAGTCCATTTGTTCTTGCATTTTTTCAAAAGTTCATTCACTTTTTTTTTTCAAAAATGTATGCAGTCTTTCGCTTTGACGTGATATTTGGGATCGAAATAAAAAAATACTACGATTTTTTTTTTCAATTGATATTTTTTTAAGACACTGTGGTTTTTAGATACCCTTGACTTTATGTAGGTTTTTTACTTTAAATGAGTCAGGGATTCTTAGTTATTTTCTAGAATAACTCGCGTGAATACGTGACAAATAAAACAGCAATGACATGGAAAAATTCATAAAAAGAAAAAACAATAATAATTGCGGTTTCTTTTTAATATTTTTGGAGGCGGCACCAGCTGCCTAAGGTTAGTTAAATAAAAGAGCGAGCAAAAAATATTTTTCTGAGTTTGAAACAGTCGTTGACTTGCCAAAAACAATTGCGCACTTTTTTTAACTTGAATTTTAAGCGAATTGACGTAAATTTTACTGAAATTGCGTGTTTTACCAGTTTTTAGTATGTAGGTACATCGATAATTAATATTGTGTTTTCATAAGTGTCGAGTACGAAGTTCATTTTTATAGTAGACGTATGTATTATTATTATAGGTCACCTTTAAAGTGCAAGGCTTTTTTACTTATCCTTGTGTCAGACAACGTTTTTTTGTTTTGTTTTTTATAGAGTTTTTCTTTTCATTTAATTTCACTTTTCCTGGGCTTCGTATAACTATTACCTATATTATGAAGTAGCCCATGTATAAAAGAAAGTCGTGTTAGTTACACCACTTATAACTCAAGAACTTCTGAACCGATTTAGCTGAAAATTGTCAGGGAGGTAGTTTAGAGCCAGAAGAAGGACATAGGATACTTTTTATCCCGTTCGAAATAAAAAAAAAGTCTGCTTATTTATTGCCATTAAGGCGGAACAAAGTTCGCCGGGCCAGCTAGTTTTCTCATAATTAATAAATAAAATAAATAAATCGCTCAATTATGTCAGTACCTGAGTTATGTGAGTGGCACAGGAGAGGTGACAGTGACATTGTGACGTGACAGAGCATACAAATCTGTAGGATATCTGAGGTCTCGCTGACATTTGACTGTCAAAAACTCCCGTGCCGCTCCAATACCTCAGTAACTAAGGCTGAGTTGCGCCATCTTACTTTTAACTTTAACAAACGTCAAAAATCTGTCAAACTCTATACAAAAACACCGGTTATTGGCATAGTTACTGTTAAAGTAAGTAAAAAACAAATAAAAAAAATAATAAAAAAAACATTTATTTGAACCAAAAGTTACATTATGCATTGTATTACCTACTTATGCTAAAGTTACAAAAAGTGGCATGAAGTTGGTGCAACTCAGCTTAATTCAGTTATACGCTAGACCTTATATAGTTACCGTATGTTGTTGTACTGCCATTCATAGCCTAAGAAAATTGTGTTTTATGCTCTGGGTCTTGAATTCTTTTCTTCTTTTCTTCCAGCTGCAGTTCTGCATAGCGTTCCTGCACTCCTCCCAGCTTCTGTTCTACGACTGCGGCTACCCACGGTGGTCGGTCGTCTTCACCCTACCCAACTCAATATTCTTCTACTACTTATTCTACGACTTCTACTACAAAGCTTACGGCAAGCCTGCCGAAAGAATACAGAATACTGCAGCACCAAAAGAAGATAAAGAATACGTGAAACAAGAATACAAAGTCGCCAATGGGATCAAAAACGGGAAGATCAGTGATGGAAAGAAAGTGGACTAATAACGGTGTAAATACGAATTTAGAAGTAGGCTACAGGAATTCTACTGGTTCTCACTCTTCAAGTTACATGTCTATGTACATATTTAAGGAAATGTGCTGATATAGATGTGATAAAATGGTATTTCTTATAAATAGTCGACTGTTCTTCTTTGTCGATTAACATTATTTTGTTTACGATTGTTTTGTTTACTCGTGTATCGTTCGCAAGATTATTACTGATAAAGAATTTTAATAAACCTGCCACTTAAAGAATATAATGTAAAAATTAATAGGTTCTTCTGACACTTCTAAAACTTACACGTGTATATTTTTTATATAATACGAATTTAGAAGTAAAAACCTATTGTAAATAGATATATTTAAAAAAGTAAACTGCTTTGATGTCACAGCCTTGATCATAATAGCATTTTTTTATAGCAATAGCAAAATTTGTGTACAAAATAAAATATGAATATTGAAATCTATTCAAGTTTACTTTTTATAAGCACTCATAGAATATTCTAGGGTTTGTAAAAAGAAATATGATTTTCAAAAAATAGGAATTGTTTTCTCGTTGAGACTACGGTATAATTTATGAACTGATTGTTTTAACGCCATTTTTTGCAGTAGTGTAAAGAAGAAGAAAATAAAAAGATGTAAGGCCCCCAACACACCCGCGTTCATGCTCTGTGATGTTTTCGACGCGCATCATGTGTCAATACTATCTTGCATGTGTGATTGGGGCCTTGCTTCTTTACGTCTGTAATGATGACGTATTAAATACCATTAAAATATGGTGCTGTGTGCCTACCATGAGTTTACGTTAGGTGTGCTCGCTAGCGACTGCGTAAAAAAAATGACATTTAAATGTATGACATATTGTGCAGCGCCCCTAACGGCTACTTTCAAGAAATAAAATCTTCATATAATTTTTTGACGTATTCGCTAGCGAGCTCACCTAACGTAAACCCATGGTAGGCACACTGATAGCAGTTTGTGTTTTTCCTTTAACGATGTATGTTAAAATATGTTTCTGCCTTCGATTCTAGCAACTGTGTATTATGTACTTTGTCTAGGGTGAAATGTTTTAGTTACTTTATCTTGTAAGGCAAATGCTCAATTTTCTAATGTAGTTGACACAGAAGTGATGCTTCTGCTATTATTGAAAAATATGTTACCAGTATGTAAAAGTTCTATATAGCAATAAATTTGTTTTTACTGTATTGATCTCGTAAAAATTTTAAAATGCAATGAAAGAAGCATCATGAACTCTACAACTACATCCAGAGAAAAACAAACCAGTGTTTTTTAATGGGATTTTAGGAAACAGTTCTCGTACTTTTATATAAAATAGATAGATTATTATACTATATCATGTCGTCCAACCTAATAGACTAAGAGCTAGTGAACACCAGACTTATGTACACTCGCGAGCAAAACTATGGAATCACTTACATGAAGTTGTTTCCACGCGAACTTGTGTACTAACAAATTTGTTATTAACAAAAAAAGTGGCACCATTTCAAAGATTAAACTTTTATCTTTAAATTGATACCAAATTAATTTAAATCACACCAGTATTTAAAAAGATATCCCGGCTGATGTGAAGAAGTAACGAAAAAGACATGTATGAACTGTTTGATACGTCGCGAGTTGCGGCCTATTTAGCCCCTATAAAAGCACGCGTTTTTAGATTTTTGCTTTCACACGTTGATTCATACACATCTCCGCTTCTTTTGACACTTAACCTGGGATTCTACACCTTCAGAAGCAGCACAAATCGTTGCACTATTGCAAGAAAGGCNGTCTGGCGTTCACTAGCTCTAAACCTCGATTCACACATATCAGTGAAGCCACAGTTCCGTCACAGTGTCCGCTCAGTTCAGTATCAGTGTAGCACTGATGTGTCAGTGAAATATTTTGAATATTTTAAAATGTCAGAGAGCTGTTTCAATTTTCTTGTTCAGAAACTATGCACTGAGAGCACTGTGTCGTCACTGACACTGACAAGTAGGGATGCGTTCATAGAAACTGTATGAAAGAATATTTCGCACTGTGCCGGTACTGAGCCTGAACTGTGACTTCACTGATATGTGTGAATCGAGCTTTAGTCTATAATAGAACATTTAATAGACAGTGATCGTCATTTATTTTTACGAGATCAATCAATAAAACTTAGTAGATATATTATTAATCGCGTTAAACAAATGGCATACAAAGTTGTATTTAGAGTAGTAATTAAGTAAGCACATATTAAAAGGTATTTTACTATTTTAACGTCTCTTCCAAAACGAGATACAGGACTCTCGATGGTTGATAAATAATATATACGACTCTAGGTACTAAGATTTAAAATTTAAATTTGCTGTAAGGAATGTATGACATTTTAAAATTCTTGTCAATTAATGTGAAAACTTGTAGTTTGTTTAGCATTTTCAAGCAGTATTGAATGTCTTCCAAATGTTTCTTCTATTGGACAGCTAATAGCAGAAGGGTCTTAAATTGTTATTGCATACTTATCAACTTCCATAATGACAAGCTTGAATTTATGCTGTACCACTAAGTATCATTTGAGAGTGCAATGTATCTAAGATTAGAAAGTTTAAGGTAGACTTTCGTACACTGACGTTGAACGAAGTCGCACGCGATTTGTAGTATAAGTTATAGAACGTGTGTATCAAACATGGTCGCATGTTCAATATCTTCGTCGAATGACGCTTTTGTCAGCAGCGCAAGTCTGACGCACTTCTCTGTATTGCACAAACGTTGGCCTCAACACTGCTGCCAATGCCAATCATCCAACGTGTGGGTCTAGAAAATATTAGCACGGACGTTGGGACAACTTCACGTTGGCCCTGACGGGTTAAGACTAGTGTAAGCCAACGTGTAAACGCCTTAAGAAATTTATCGCCCAATGTTGTTACAAGCATTGGTGGCAATGTGTGGTGTCGGGTAAGCCAGTATCTTTGCCAAGCGGTAGGAAAAGTAGAGTTGGTGGTAGAGCTCGGAAAGCTAAGGATTGATAAAAAAGATTGCGAATAATATCCATGCAACCACATTATCCACAACTATTGGATGAACTGCCAAGAGAAATCTTGAGACTTCAAAGTATGACCCTTTGAGATGTATTTTTGATGTATAAAGTTCGAATACGAATAGATTAGTAAACCTTTGGCCATTCTTACACTTTCCCGGACAGTAACCCAGACACAATAGAAGTTTATTTGTTATGACGGCTAGTATAGCAGTTCACTGTCCAGGAAAGTGTTAAACGGTTAGTTTTAATGTAAATTCAATACCTAACAAATACTACAAAATACTTTTTCAAATTAAAAAATAAGTAACGCATTAAGAATTTGACTATTTAAGTTGATAAGTGTGCAATAATTTAAATATTGACTGAACTTAGTCACGAAAATCTCTGACTGTAAATTATTAGGATTTTCAAATAACTAATAGTTGTGTTAAAGGTTATGAAGTGTACAATATTGTATGATTTAATTATATGCGTTATACAATACATGCCTGCCTTTTAATTTCCGATTACATGCCAGCATCATCATCATCATCATTCAGCCACAGGACGTCCACTGCTGAACATAGGCCTCCCCCAATGACTTCCACATCGCACGGTTGGTAACGGCCTGCATCAAGCGGTTTCCTGCTACCTTTTTCAGGTCGTAGGTCCACCTTGTGGGTGGACGTCCCACGCTGCGTTTTCCGGTATCTACGTGACCTCTACTCCAGAACCTTGCTGCCCCATCGACCGTCAGTCCGTGCCAGCATCTATACCATAATCTATACTAATATTATTTCAGTGTTAGATAGCCCATTTATCGAGGAAGACTATAGGATATTATAATTCACTATCTTTCCGCCCGCGGCTTCGCCCGCGTGGAATTTTGTCTGTCACAGAAAAACTTTATCGCGCGCGTCCCTGTTTCAAAAACCGGGATAAAAACTATCCTATGTTCTTTCCCGGGACTCAAACTATCTCTATGCCAAATTTCATCAAAATCGGTTGCGAGGTTTAAGCGGGAAAGCGTAACAGACAGACAGACAGACAGACAGACAGACAGACAGACAGACAGACAGAGTTACTTTCGCATTTATAATATTAGTTGGGATNTTATGTAGTTTCATAAAAGCTGAAAGTTTGTCAGCGCATGCTCCCACATAGGTAAGATTTGGGTCATCGTGGCTTTAGCAGCTGCCCTAAAATGGTTTTCTGGCAATCAATGAAGTGGTAGCAGCAAGTGGTATAAAATAAAGTAGGTCTGGCGTTCACTAGCTCTAAACCTCGATTCACACATATCAGTGAAGCCACAGTTCCGTCACAGTGTCCGCTCAGTTCAGTATCAGTGTAGCACTGATGTGTCAGTGAAATATTTTGAATATTTTAAAATGTCAGAGAGCTGTTTCAATTTTCTTGTTCAGAAACTATGCACTGAGAGCACTGTGTCGTCACTGACACTGACAAGTAGGGATGCGTTCATAGAAACTGTATGAAAGAATATTTCGCACTGTGCCGGTACTGAGCCTGAACTGTGACTTCACTGATATGTGTGAATCGAGCTTTAGTCTATAATAGAACATTTAATAGACAGTGATCATCATTTATTTTTACGAGATCAATCAATAAAACTTAGTAGATATATTATTAATCGCGTTAAACAAATGGCATACAAAGTTGTATTTGGAGTAGTAATTAAGTAAGCACATATTAAAAGGTATTTTACTATTTTAACGTCTCTTCCAAAACGAGATACAGGACTCTCGATGGTTGATAAATAATATATACGACTCTAGGTACTAAGATTTAAAATTTAAATTTGCTGTAAGGAATGTATGACATTTTAAAATTCTTGTCAATTAATGTGAAAACTTGTAGTTTGTTTAGCATTTTCAAGCAGTATTGAATGTCTTCCAAATGTTTCTTCTATTGGACAGCTAATAGCAGAAGGGTCTTAAATTGTTATTGCATACTTATCAACTTCCATAATGACAAGCTTGAATTTATGCTGTACCACTAAGTATCATTTGAGAGTGCAATGTATCTAAGATTAGAAAGTTTAAGGTAGACTTTCGTACACTGACGTTGAACGAAGTCGGACGCGATTTGTAGTATAAATTATAGAACTTGCGTATAGAACATGGTCGCATGTTCAATGTCTACGTCGAATGACGCTTTTGTCAGCAGGCAAGTCTGACGTACTTCTCTGTATGGCACAAACGTTGGCCTCAACACTGGTGCCAATGCCAATCATCCAACGTGTGGGTCTAGAAAATATTAGCACCGACGTTGGAACATCTTCACGTTGGCTCTGACGGGTTAAGGCTAGGTGTAAGCCAACATGTGAACGCCCTAAGAAATTTATCGCCCAACGTTGTTACAAGCATTGGTGGCAATGTGTGGTGTCGGGGTAAGCCAGTATCTTTGCCAAGCGGTAGGAAAAGTAGAGTTGGTGGTAGAGCTGGAAAAGCTAAGGATTGAAAAAACAAAAGATTGCGAATAAGATACCATGAAACCACATTATCCACACCTATTCGGATGAATTGTAGAGAGAAATCTTTAGACTTTAAAGTATAAGACCCTTTGAAACGTATTTTTGATGTATAGAGTTCGAATACGAATAGATTAGTAAACCTTTGGCCATTCTTACACTTTCCCGGACAGTAAGGCCCAGAACAGACGGTGAAACGCAACTGCAACGAAACTGCAACTGCTAGTTACTTTTGAGTTGCATCTAAGTTTCTGCCATAGCGTCCGTTGAGAGACCACACATGACGCGACCAGTTTGAAACTTTCAGTTTCAGTTTTATTCATCAGAATCATCAGAAAGTTGCAGTTTCGTTGCAGTTGCATTTAACCGTCTGTTCTGGGCCTTACCCAGACACAATAGAAGTTTAATTGTTATGACTATGCTAGCAGTTCACTGCCCAGGAAAGTGTTAAACGGTTAGTTTGATTGTAAATGTAAATTCAATAGGTACCTAACAAATACTACAAAATACTTTTTCAAATTAAAAAATAAGTGACGCATTAAGAATTTGACTATTTAAGTTGATAAGTGTGCAATAATTTAAATATTGACTGAACTTAGTCACGAAAATCTCTGACTGTAAATTATTAGGATTTTCAAATAACTAATAGTTGTGTTAAAGGTTATGAAGTGTACAATATTGTATGATTTAAATATAGGTATGCGTTATACAATACGTGAATGTCTTTTCATTTCCGATTACATGCCAGCATCATCATCATCATCATTTCAGCCACAGGACGTCCACTGCTGAACATAGGTCTCCCCCAATGACTTCCACATCTCACGGTTGGTAACGGCCTGCATCAAGCGCCTTCCTGCTACCTTTGTCAGGTCGTCGGTCCACCTTGTGGATGGACGTCCCACGCTACGTTTTCCGGTACCTACGTGGCCTCCACTCCAGAACCTTGCTGCCCTATCGACCGTCAGTCCGTGCCAGCATCTATACCATAATCTATACTAATATTATTTCAGTGTTAGATAGCCCATTTATCGAGGAAGACTATAGGATATTATAATTCATGATGCTAAGTAACTTTTCTACGTGGACGAAGTCGCGGGCAGAAGCTATTTATTTTAGAAAATGACATTTATACAAATCTACAACTATTAATATATGAGTATACACATCTTCTTTGAATCTTAGGTAATTATAATTTGACATTGACTTAATTTTTTTTATTTATATTTATGTAATTTTATTAATCTTGTTATTTGACCTTGATATAATTCAGTGTTATCTTTTAAAGAATATGGAATTAGTCATTACACTTTTGAGTTGCAATTATAAATATTATTTTGGCTCGCCCGCGTGAAATTCAGTTTATCACAGATAGACTTACCAATGCAATTGATCTATGAACTCAATATCATTATAGTGATAGCCCATTATGATATTTTGGTATATAAACAATATTACTACAAAGTTTGCCTAGCCATTTTTTACGTGAAAGTGCAACAAACATCTACCCACCTCACAAATTTTAATATCATCATCATCTCAGCCATAGGACGTCCACTGCTGAACATAGGCCTCCCCAATGCTTTTCATGTTGCCCGGTTGGTAGCGGCCTGCGTCCACAATTTTCACATCTATAATATTAGCAGGTTACATAATTTTGTGATTAATATGCTATTTTTTAAAGTTACACGAGGACATTGTAGAAACCAATAGGTANGTACATTGTAGAAACCAATAGGTACTCTCATAGGTACCGTGTTTGACGCAAATAAAGATTTTATTCTTATCATTTTTCTTAAAAAATACCTTTGTATTTACCAAAGTACAAGTAAGTACATTCTGATACAGCACAGAACAATTTTATTGATTGAATATACAAATACCATAAGTATTTTTCAGGCTTATGTAATGCCCAAATGCCAAGGCCAAGCCTAAAATACAAGGTGGGGCAAAAGTAGTCATCCGATGTTCCTGTACTTACAGTAACTTACAACTGAAAAACTTTAGTTCCAGTAAGGACAATCTGTTCAGGTGGGGATTCTTGGATGGCTCAAACTTAGAGTGCAAGTGTGGCTTTGTTCCCCAGTCGACGAAGCACATGATGTCGTGCCCTCGTGCCCAAACAACTGCACGCAGGAAGATTTCCACCAGCTCGCACTAAGCGTTTCGACGACTCGTTTATAATGCGAACAGCTAGGGGACTGGAATTCGCTGCCTACAACACTATACTCCGGGCGTTTTCAAGGCGAGAGTGAATATAACAGGGCAGATATGTACCATCCTAGACTGCATCTCACTTAACACCAGGTGCGATTGCCTTGTCTAGCATAAAAAAAAAAGATTTTATGAAGGCTACTGACAACGGAGTTTTGGGCTGACACTGTGTAGGTATGTTGTCGACACGACAAGAAGAAGAATCCATTAGATTAGCCATCAATCGAGAAGATGAATCACACAAGTGGCCGCCGTCAGCATTTCTGACCATGCTGGCTCTTTTCGGCATTTGCCATCACTTTTGATTTCATCACTTCATTCATCAGATGCTTTCATGTTTACGTAAACACGAGACTTCAAAAAATTTCACAAAAAACGTCTGGTACGGTCAAATCGGGTGATCTTGGCGGCCAGTGCAAATCGCCAAAACGATGGATTAAGCGACCCGAAAATGCCTGTTTCTATATTTTATAAGACGAGTCTTAATACACACTTTTAGCTTGTTCACTGGCCAAGTCACTGGTAGTTTTCATATAGTAGGGAAATAACTACTAACACAAGCATAATATTATGTTCCATACAAATTACTAAATATTATTAAAAAAAACTGCACACTTTAATACAAAGACATTAACAAAATTGGTAATAAAAATACGTTCAACCTGATACGACTTTCTCATTAATCTGAGTTAGGTTTCAGATTAGATTCAGAGCTCCGGTAAGTATATGCGAAATTAAATGCCAAAGTATGGTTTTCACTTTCGACTCGTAGAGTTGTTTTTCCGAATTGTTTTTACCTTTGGTATACACATAAAAATAAGCATGCAAAATATTGTTTCGCCTTGGACTCGTAGACCTGGTGAGCTAATAACCAAAATTCTGCTTACGCTTAAACTTTGGAATGAAAAAACTTCTGTCAACCTCCTTTTGTTAGTAATAACCTTTGCGTATTCATATTCAATAAAAAAACAGTAACTCTTGGAGTTTTAGGGTACGTATTGGCAAATAAATTGAACCGACTTAAATTAAAAAATAAGGTGTAGCGATTCTTCACATACATTATTGTTAATATCTTCTTATATGTATGAGGCTAATGCCTATTGGCTACTACGATTATTACACATAATTTCGTTAATTATGTGATTAATCTAAACTTATTTTTTTATCTAGACTATTACAGCATGTCAAAAATCCCAGGCCTACCTTGTTATGGGACCATAACATATCTCATGTTAGAAAAATAATGATTCGTGGTCGCAGTGTAAAGTGTAAGCAGGCTACCACTCGGTGGACTGACGATCTGGTAGGTATTATATAGGTCGCCGGAAGCGCCTGGAAGGGGGCAGCACAGGACCAGTCTACCTGAAAATAAGGGATGGTATATTATATTATTTGGAATTTCATGTTTGTAATTAAAAAAAAGTTAATAGTTCATAAGTTTAGTTGTTTCTTAAGTTTTGCTTTATGTGACAGCTTTATGCTTCACCTGTTATTTAATTAATTGTATTTTTCTTTAGACAATTTCGTTCCTCTGACTTCTCCAGATTTTTAATTCCGAAATTCGGAACCCTGAATCACTCTACATCGAAAGAAGGCTATATATTCAGAACTAGCGGCCGCCCGCGACTTCGTATGCGTGGATCCCGTTTTACCACCCGTTTCGTAAAATCCTTTCTTAGCAGATGCCTACGTCATACCTGCATGCCAAATTTCAGACCGATCTGTCCAGTGGTTTGGGCTGTGCGTTGATAGATCACTATGTCAGTCAGCAGTCAGTCAGTCAGTCCGTCACCTTTGAGTTATATGTATTTAGAAGATATCATTAGCCCAAATGCTTGCTAATCATAATGACTCTAACCTGAATGCATGAAATAGAAAATTAAAATAAATAGGTAATGATTCTTTCATTTCTCACAAGATTTTGCCAAAAAAGTTCACATCCCAAATTGTAGAGCATGAAAATATGGCAGAAATGGTACGGAACCCACGTAATTATTATCAGACATGCTCGAAGAAGTGTAAGTTGCAATAAAAACATGCGCAAGCACATACGGCACCCATATATCAAGTTCGCTAGTAGCGGTAGACATTAAGATAGTATTATTTTATAAATAGTATTTATATTTATAGTTATAGTGTTAGTTGTGAGTTGGTGGTTCGGGAATAAGTGGTTTTTAGAACTTTTGGTAGTCAAATTTGGTAAGTAAATATTTTTAAAAAAATTAAAAGAAAAAATATCTCTTCACAAATGCTGAAAATTCCTTCAATTTAATTTTGAGTTACTATTTTCACAAAAAAGTGTTTGGCGAACTGAATGTGACAGTGAAATTCGGATCGATTTACCAAAACCGAAGTTGAGTCATTCCTGAGTTAAAAAAAATCTTAAGCGCAATACAATTCTTAAACTGTCTCTAGTCAGTTCACCATCCATGATAAAAAGCTGTCGCCTATTATGCAATTGGTTTAGACAATTTGTGAGCACGATACTATTGGAAAAGTGCAAAAAATACTTAAAATTAAAATTGCTTTTCAAAATTTTAAAATTTATCTTTTATTTTTCTCTCCTTTCATTTTAACATGTCGCAATTTCTAACATTCTTAAATACTAGAACATTTTCGAAAAAAAGTACTGGACGGATTTCGGTGATTCTTGTGCAAAATAACAAATCTCTATTATAATTATGTAACCTTATTTTTTTAACAATACAATTTATCTAATTGTACATACAAAGATGAAGTCGCGGGTAAATGTTAGTATTGAAATAATTAGATACAGTGAATAGTAATAACATGAAGTGCGTTTAATAGGACACATGTTTTTCGCTGTTTCAGTACTAATATTGTAAACAATGGAAGCAGTGGAACGAACAGACGGGATCAAATTCGTTTTCGCACGAAAATGTAAGTTTTTTCTTTTATTCATCATCATTAAGGGAACAGCTAGGGACTGGAATTCGCTGCCTGTTGCTGTCTTTTCTGAATACTATAATCCGGGCCTTTTAAGACGAGAGTGATAAGCAATTACAGGGCAGATATGTACTATCCTTAACTTAACATCAGGTGCGATTGCGGTCAAAGACCTGCCTTGTTATGCATAAAAAAATTCAGCCACAGGACATCCACTGCTGAACATAGGCCCTATCCACAATGACTTCCATATTGACCGGTTGGTAGCAGCCGGCATACATTCGTATCTTTTATTTACCTACTAAAACTTTAGTTTTACTTTCGTAAACGAATGTGAATCATAGTTTTATTTAAATTTTGTTGTTGTTTGGGTTATTGTGACCTCAGGCCTCAGTATTATAATACGCGTAGTAAAGAAAAACTTTGACGAGTGTATTTGTCTTCACTACTTTTTAATTACCTACCTTTATATTAAAAGAATAGAAGTAAAGCCATGTATTCATTAGGCAACATTTGTTGATAAACACTGTTTATAAACAATGTTTCATAATGTTTCATCATCTCTGTAAACAGTATATAAACAGTCCATAAACATAGGTGATGAAACATTGTTTATGATACATGTTGCCGTGCTCCCCGCTATGAGTTGAGAGCAAGTGTGGACGGCCAAGTTTCAGAAACCTGTTTTTATGGTAAACTTGTTGCACACTAGTCATAAACAAAACAGTTTATCAACAAATGTTGCCTAATGAATACATGGCTTTAGAGTCTTGACTTTAGACTTGCCTCTTAAGAGTAGGCGCACACCGTTGATTTTTAGTTGGCCGATAGTTGTGCCCGATTTCAAATTGTATGAAGAATCTGCCAAATCGAATCGGCGTAGTGTGCGCACTCCCATACATGCCCATACTGATCGACAGCCCGACTAAACTATCGGCCGACGAAAAATCAACGGTGTGCGCCTACTCTAAATCTGAAGTCTCGCTGACGTTAGACGTTTTAAAAACCATATTACTGCCGCTCTCATACACAGGCACAGACTCAGTTCAGCTAGACCTATAATTTCAATTAATGTGTGTGTATGTCTATCATCATCATCATCTCAGCCATAGGACGTCCACTGCTGAACTGCTAGAAAGCATTGAGGGAGCAGTCGTCCACTGCTGAACATAGGCCTCCCCCAATGCTTTCCATGTTGCCCGGTTGGTAGCGGCCTGCGTCCAGCGCCTTCCAGTCCTGTTACCTTTATGAAATTACTTTGTGTCTGTCTATATTAATATTAAAATGTTTATCTTTCAGTCAAAGAAGTGGACGAGTATCCCCTTTCGGACTCCCTCCCTTTCTTAGTATGTCTAGTCGCAGCATATTTACTGTTTGTCAAAAAAATTGGCCCCGACTTTATGAAGAATCGAGAACCTTACAAACTCAAAAACACGATTTTAGTCTATAATGCCATTCAAGTCGTATTGTCAGCAGTATTCGTCTATCTTGTAAGTATAATTTTTTTATTTGTCTTTATTAGTTAATTTTTATATTTATATATTTATTTTTTAAAATTTGGATTGATACTACATCATTTATTACTATAAAGCAATTTAGCTTACAACTATTTACTACGTAAGTGGGTCTAAGCTGCTTAACTATTCTAAGAGTAGTTTGTTGGAAATCTATCTCTCATATCAACCTAGGCATTCGAAATTATGTACGAACTAGCCGCCCGCGATTTCATACGCGTGGATCCCGTTTTATCCCCTTAGGGGTGGAGTTTTGTAAAATCCTTTCTTAGCGGATGCCTACGTCATAACATCTACTTGCATGCCAAATTTCAGCCCAATCCGTCCAGTGGTTTGGGCTGTGCCTTCATAGATCACTATGTCAGTCAGTCAGTCACCTTTGAGTTACATAATATTTAGATTGTAGAGTCAAATAAAGTGACATAAACGTGCTATTTACAGTCATTTATCGCGCTCCTGAAAGGTGGACTATTCCCAAAACAATGCTGCGAAGAAGACCCTGAAATTAGAAAAACTGTAAGTACATAGTATTTATACTTACAGGGTGACCCATTGGTGGGTGATCAAAAAGAATTGATTCTGCTGCTTAAATGCAATATCCACCAATGGGTCACCCTGTATATTTTTAATTCAACCAACAACATTCGTCTCACCTCAAATCCATTGCTGGACAGTTTTCTCTCAAGGGGTTTTTGTCCAGCAATAGGGGCCTACTGGCCCTACTACTCTGAAACGCTATTTTCGTACTTTCTAGTCTATCTGTCACCGTCGCTAATGCTGGCACCTTGATTAAAGCGACAGAGATAGCAACATTCAAAAACCGCAGTTCCGTTTGGTTTTGGCAGAATAGAATAGGACCACTACCACTCTTACCGTGGATTTCGTAAAAAGCGATTAAGTAACGAATATGGGAACATTAGACCCGTCTGTCCAGCGAAGATTTTGCAGACAAAAAATTGCCTGAGAGAATTTGCCTGCTAGAGAGAGCCAATCTCCAGTGGAGACTAGATGACCTGATGAATTAAGGATATTACATGCTACTGAGCGTTTTTAAACTAAGTTGACAGTGTCTATGTCTTTATCATGACAGACTTTAGCTAATGAAATCATAATCATTGTGATTCTAATTTGTATTTTTTTGTTCTAGATGTTAAAAGCAATGTTCATCTACTTCTTGGGGAAGATTTCAGAGCTTCTTGACACGATTTTCTTTGTTTTAAGAAAAAAATATAATCAGGTATGTTACTTTACTATTTTTGAGTTTTAGTTGTCACCAAACAAAATTATTTTGTACAGTCCTGAAGCAGTGGTAGGGTTAATACTGGGACGTGTAAAAGTGCTTTTTAAAGCCTACTTACAGAAATAAATGAGTTTTACTGCGTTTTTTACTGAGTGGGCCACAGCTCTAGCTACACATTTCCGTTTTTGCTCTCGCTCTCACTAAATAGTGATTCTTTGCGATAGATTTGATCATTTGCATGCTGGTTCATATCTGGCGAATGTGTCCTGCTCCATTTCATTATGTAACATCTAATGTACCTACCACATTCTGCAAATAAATAATTTGAATTTGAATTAGAATGAGACGACACGACCGGAAAGGTAGATGAAACTGTGACCCATAGTACTAGTGTGTTGAAGTGTTGTTTTGTGCCAGTTGTTAATAATATCTTGATGAGATTAATTATGAAAAATCAATTATTAATTTATACACTTAACTCTCCAAAACAAACTATACCTATTAAGTCTGCTTGCACCATTTCTTTCGACGAACTATAACTACATTCCCTAGAAAGTGTAAATTCAGTTTACAAAATTTTGACAGGTGTCATTCCTTCACGTCTACCATCACGCGTCAGTCGTGATCGGTACGTGGATGATGTTCAAATACTCGGTCAACCAGACCGCAGTCTACGCCGGCTTCATCAACTCCTTCATCCACGTCATCATGTACTTCTATTATTTCGTGGCTGCGTTGGGACCTCAGTACCAGAAATATCTTACGTGGAAGAGGCACATCACTTCTTTGCAATTGGTAAGTGATTTATATGTTTTTGAACGTTTTACGAGTTGAACATTGAAGTTTTTTGTTCTCTAACGTTATTTAAGATATTTCCAAAAAAACAAATACGCTATTTCGAATGCCACACGACGTGGTAATTGCTTTTACAAAATCAAAATTTAGCAGGACTGATATTGTTATTAACGCTGACGGGTTGGTATTTTTTGTATGTACTATTACAATTTTGGTGCTTAGTAAATATTAAGCACTGAGTTTTTAAAAGTCAATTCGTTTAATTGATCTCCCAACACCAATGATGAATTGAGTTCTATGGAGAGCCATATTTATAAACTCATTTGGTAGTTANGGTAGTTAATTTAAATTATATTGATTTTAACTACCGCTTTTTTGTATGATTATGCTTATTTTATTTTAATGTGGAAGTATTTTTTCAGATCCAATTTGTGTCAATCCACCTCCATCAACTAGCCAGTATCTTTTTTGGCAGAGAATGTACCCACTCCCTAGTCGGCATTCTCTATGTGCTTCCCTCGACCATATTATTCTTCTATCTTTTCTATCAATTTTATAAGAAGAGCTACAATAAACCCGCTGCTAGCCAGAAGGAATCAAATGGTACAGCACAAGAAGACACGAAAATTTCTAAAACTAAAGATAATACTGTTGCTAATGGATTAAAAGCAAAGACCAACTAAATATTCTACTATAAATATTGATACAATTATGCTTTAATTGGAGAAAGTCTGATCTCTTTGAATGTCACGGTAAAAATTAAGAGCAATATAAAACAATATTTTAGTATACTAGTGTAGTTTATTCTGTAAATAAAGCGCTGTTTTATGATTTGACCATTTTGTTTAATATTAACATACACGACATGCGTGTATACATGTGCGTATGTGATTTATAGATCCTTCTACAATTTACTATTAACCACAACGGGGAATTTGGGGTACAACCGATGAAAAAAGATGATCAGGCCAAAGGAAGCGAGCTTCACTCGGAATCCTCAACCACAATGGAACCAGCCTACCTCCAACTGCTGTAATATAGGGGAGAGTTCGGTATATTGTACCGCCGGGTAAATTGTACCACCCTCATATTTCGTAAAGTATTTATTGAATGTCTGTAATTGCAACACTTAGCGATACACAACTAAATTAAATTAACATCGGCCATGTGGTTTTTGCCGTGACAACGAACACGTGTGTTTTATTTTGAAAAGTATTTTTTCATTGTTTTCAAGTAACTTTTGACAATGCATGTTTAGTTTGTAATTTTGTTAAATTTAATCAAATGGTGTTTCTAATATATTATTTAGAAGCGTAAATTAGTGTGGATTACAATTATTTGAAACATTTTTCGGTATTTATAAGCTATATTTTTTACCGATATTTTAAAAGCACTATCACCTAGTCGGCTAAATTGTACCACATCAAGTTGTATGGAACTTTACCAAAGGATTTTGAAATTTTTTTTAGTAAATCAAGTTTTGAAGTTATAATAGCGTAGTTATGTTTGACTAACAATAAATGAAAGCAAAAGACTGGCAAAGTAGATAAGTTACAAGTGTGCGTTACGATAATTGGAATTACAAAACTTTTACTCAAAATCGTGATAACGTGTAAAACAATATCGATTGTCTATGTTATTAACTACTGATCTTTTTCGTTACCGAATTGGTTAAGAATGTATAGTATAATATTTTGCCATAGTTTTTTATAGGCTTGAAATTTATTGAAATCCAATTTAGTAACCCTGTGGTACAAATTATCGAACCGGTTGGCTAAATTGGACCGAAGCTCTGAACTCGTATTTTGTTGATTTGTGCTAAATATACAACAGTTGTGTTGATTAATACCTATGAAATAGTAAGTTGAATAATTTCTCTTTAATTATATACCATGAACATTAGCAAAAACAAAAGAAAACTATGTGTAAAATGTGATTGAAAAAAACTGGTCCAAATTACCGGACTCTCCCTTACATACATAGCAATGCTTTCCTTATGGGGAGTTAGATGGAGGTAGATAGCCAGGCAGCCTTAGAAGAATCCGTACCACAAACCAAAAAAGGAGCAGATAAAATTTTGCCTCCACTGGGACCAATCTCTGGGTAAAAGTTTGACTTGGTACATAGACGGTTAAATATTGGGATTGGTTGAAAAAAAAAGGAACGAGGAAGACCCCGAATTACATGGATGTCCGTAATCAATAACGACCTTAAAGAAGCCCAAGTTAACAGTAAGAAAACCCAGGATCGAGCCGCCTGGAGACGAATGACGCGGAGGGCCAAACCCCAAATAAAATGGGAATGGGCCAGGCAAAGAAGAAGGTTGAAAAAAAAAAAACAATCCCGTCGCGTCTGTTTCTGAAGACAGGTTGTTAGGGGAGCACCCTTTCAAGTGAAAATCGATGAGATTTACGAGTAATATGAAATTGAGGAAAATTTACGAAAGCCAAACTCGAGATTTATTAAACTTTCTGCTACATTGACGTAGTAGTTGTACAAAGGTTGACTAACGTCAGTATTACGTTTTATTTTTAATCAAATTCAATACACGTGAACTTTCACCTACACGTTCACAACATGTTGTTATTCAATGTTAAAAGTATTAGTTATAAATCAAACATCGCTCTAATGCATTATTATGAGGATTATGCTATGGCAGAAACTTAGATGCAACTCAAAAGTAACTAGCAGTTGCAGTTTCGTTGCAGTTGCGTTTCACCGTCTGTTCTGGACCTTAGAATGGTTATTTAGAGTTTTTTATCAAACAGCCTATAACTCCAATTTTCATTGTTCTTTTTGATAAAACTCTTTGAACTTTTTATGAAAAGATCTTAGTGTGAAAATACGTATAAAGATAGTGCAGCCAATAGCTTGGGATCAGAAAAAACATGCCTGATTTTCCGTGAACATAAGTACTACCTACTTCTATCTAATGTAAACAAGTAAGTTATAAAAGTAATAATTTTAAGTGCCTTGCAAAACTTTATATGCGCATGAGCTTTTTTAGATATATTATTTTTTGAGTTTCGAAACTCTCAATGAAAGTTCTTTGCGGTTGTCAGATGGCAGTGGCGCCATCTGGAGTTGCCTTTGCCTGTGCTTCATTAAGTATTTACAAAAAAAGAAAAAAAGTATTTAAGTATGTATAAATTCGTTGCCTAGTAGTAGTACCCATAATACAAGCTTTGCTTAGTTTGGGACTAGAAGTGTAGTGTAAAATTACCAGGGATATTTATTTATTTATTACTTACAACCCGATCAAGAGAACTGTGCACCTCGTTGTAATGCGACTCTGCCTCGCACTCACCCGCACACCTCCCCGCATTCGCTCCGTCCGTACCAGTGTCGATGTGACGTCACGGTTGCCAGGTGCGCAGTNTATTTTGGTTACTTTAGAGTCATAATTGGTACACTTTCGAAACACACACGATGGCATTTTTTATTTATTTTGGTAAGAACAGGAACTTACGGTGTGGTACGCACGCGATTGCGCACGACGCAGGCCACTCGAAGACTAAACACAAGACGTCCCAATTGGGACGTATTTGAGTATTCACAGCACGAGCGCTTATAACATATCTGCTTTTGTTTTTATATAATATCATTGGTAGGCGCACACTGTTGATTTTTCGTCGGCCGATAGTTTAGTGGGGCTGTTGATCAGTATGGGCATGTATGGGAGTACGCACACTACGTTGATTCGATTTGGCCGATTCTTCATACAATTTGAAATCGGGCACAACTATCGGTCAACTAAAAATCAACGGTGTGCGCCTACTCTTAGGCTTCCCACTTCAAAGCACCTTAGAGTAGGCGCACACCGTTGATTTTTCGTCGGCCGATAGTTTAGTCGGGCAGTTGATCAGTATGGGCATGTATGGGAGTGCGCACACTACGCTGATTCGATTTGGCCGATTCTTCATACAATTTAAAATCGGGCACAACCTATCGGCCAACTAAAAATCAACGGTGTGCGCCTACAGTAGTTAGGCTAGTACCGTTCAATCGCTGAACACTTAGTTGTAACTTCTGTACTTTATTATTTAATTAAAATCATTGAAAGTTTAAAATAGGTAGTAGTTTTTTTTATAAAGTCTGCTCGCCGCACAAACTTGACTAGGTACTTAAATCTTTAAGTAAATATTTACAAAATGTATTTTGTTTCAGAACCACGCGCAGACAGGAAAACTAATGTTTAGGCATTTTAATTAATACTAATTATCATTAAGTCAC